CAACCCCCAAAACCAACCCCCGAAACAACCCCAAAAACAACCCCAAAACCAACCCCCAAAACAACCCCGAAACAACCCCAAAACAACCCCAAAACCAACCCCCAAAACAACCCAAAAACAACCCCAAAAACAACCCCGAAACAACCCCAAAAACAACCCTGAAACAACTCCAAAAACAACCCCAAAACCAACCCCCAAACAACCCCAAACATAACCCCCAAAACAACCCCGAAAAACCCCAAAACAAGTCATCATCTTTCTATAGCCAACATACCCGAATGTAAGAAGACAGAGATCCAATCATTCTAGCTGATCTCCCCGGATTGCCCAATGGTCCTTCTTCATAAGTAATGCCATACATTGTAGCATGGTTGCCAAAGCCGGACATATCCTTGCCTTTAGTAACATTGTCAAATGGATAGTAGCCAACAAGACCTTTCTCTATAGAAATTGTATTATCATCCAAATATCAACCTATTTGGATTTTGGATAGCTCTATCTGTTCTCAACTGTTCGTGCTAGTGATCCAGTAAGGATATTCCTTATTGTTCCATTGTTGCTACAGGAGGAAACCTAAACTAAGGAACTTTATTTACTGTATACTGGATAGCTCTATCACTGTTCTTCCCAGCGGTCCAGGTAAGTTGATCCTTTATTCGTCCAGTGTTAGGAATAAACCTGTTACTAACTTTATTATACCGGATAGCTCTACGAGAGGCCAGAATAACCTACCATGCGTTTTGAAGTTGAACAAATCCAGGGTTTGAAAAGTGCTTCGAACTACATCATCACTTGTCGATTGTCCATCAGTGAATGAATAACCACAGGTAGCTTTCCATTCCACCGATCGGCCGCCTGTCATTCCTGTCTTAACACTTTTCATTTTTTCCAAAGACAGCCTACAAAGAAATATTATATTTGACTAGTACCTCCAGACGAAGGGCCTTCGCTCGAAACGTCAAAATTCTCCTTATATTTTTCAGGTAGTTGTATCCCTATCACTGAAAGAAAGCTTGTTCATCAAATAACCATGTTAAAACATGTTATAAGGGCTAGTGTTACTACAGGAGGAAACCTAAACTAAATTAACTTTATTTATACTGCATAGCTCTATCAGTTCTAAACTGTTCTTCCTAGAGGTCCAGTAAGGTACTACAGGAGGAAACCTAAACTAATTTTATATTTGATAGCTCTATCAGTTCTAAACTGGTCTTACTCCTAGACGTCCAGTTAAGTCTTACTGGATATTTACATGAGGCGCAATTATAATCAGATACTGCACTAACCAATGTGCCACCAACATCCCCTCCCCCGTAAATACGGTAAATGTGGGTAATTACCTGTAATCCCCACTATCAGCATCAGTTTCATCACGGGGGACGTCTACATAAAAAGGCGCGAATTCAGGATCATTGCCATTTGCCTTAGAATATGACATCACTAGTGCCCAAGCTTCCCACTCGTCTGGGCGCATATCACAATACACTGTAGACTTGACCAACGTGTTTTTCTCCCAAATATCGAAATATCCTGATTAAATGAGAAAGATCAGTGAAAGGTTAGTTCTCAGTACGACAGTGAACTGGCGTGCCCGGAGGGTGTAGCACAATCTTGTTCAAGCCTGTTGATATCAATCGGGAACAACCTGTTCGTAGGTTTATCTCAGCGGTAAGGTGAGGGGAAGGCGCAAGAGGGCCTACCTAGAGAAAATGCACCCCACCCCCAGAAAATATTACACCCATTAGCAACTGTGCCCTGCTACAGCGTGCTCTGCAGCGTTACGCAACCTATCCCTCTAAATTTTTGACAACCCCGCCTAAATTTCCAACACCCCCTCCCCCCCAAGGAAAATCTGAAAATCCGTCTATGGTGCGCTGACCGCGTGTATCGCTTCCATACCTGATTTTACCGTCTTGTCATTCCAGAGGTAATCAAAGCAACTGTTGATTTCTCGTTTGCATAAAGGGCCGGTGTTGTACTCATTTGCGCATGTACAATTGAACCCAGGTTTCCCACGGTCGCCCGTTTCTGTACATTTCGCATCATTAGCACAAGGGTTGTTATCACAGCATCTGTTAGAGTAAGGCTCGTAGCAAGTGTCCTGCAAAACAGGAGAGATTTAATGCTGGGCTGTTGCTTGCACAGTAAGGGGAGAACATTTTAGAATTAAAAAAACTTAAGGTGGAGTAACACGAGCAACAAAATTGCTGCAACTTGCAACAAAATCTGATTTCAACGCATGTTAAGTATTAATGTCGACACATGTTGCCTTGTGATTTGTAATTTATGTGTCGACATTTCTACTCAACATGCGTTAAAATCATATTTTGTTGCAATTTGCAGCAATTTTGTTGCTCGTATAACTCCACCTTTAGTGACTGGAATAATTAAGCGTCTTTTCCATTCATTGCAAGAGTCGCAAGCTGGCTGTGAGTGCTTTCATCCAATCACAATGCTCAACAGTTTATTTTAATCAGATGCAAGTACTCGCAGTGTTCTTGTGAGTTGGTTTTTGCGATGTGTGGATAAAAGTCTTAATTAAGGGATGCCTTTACTGGACCTCTATAGGGAACAGTTTACAACTGTTATAGTCCAGTTGATTGGAAAATATCTATACACCGGGTCCCAACATTTGAAATATCTCAAATAAAATGAATTCCCCAAATAAATGAAGGAGAACAGAAATCCGTAGAAATAAAATAAACCTATTATTTCTATGCAAAAATCACAGCTCCGGTAAAAAATATTTTCGGAAGCCAGCAGAATAAAGGTAAAACAAGAAACTTACATCGCCAGCGATAACTTCTTTCACTTGTAAATGATGATAGCGCCATCCAGGTTTCGGTTTCATCAAGACTGTGCTGTTATCTGCGCTGTTCAATTCACAATTCCCTTCACCAGACATTGGCAAATTGAACGATCTACACCTACAGTCCTCATCGCAATGAGCAAAACATTCGGTAAAACTTTTCACAGTTAACGTTGCGATGACATGCCCAACCAACACTTGGTTGTCTTTGGTGAGTTCCCCCATGAACTCTCCACGGTAGCCAGTCTTAGAGCCATGACAAGCTGACTGGGAAAACTTGGGTAGAGCGAGGAAAAGAATAGCGACAGCTAAGCTCGACATTTTGGATGGGTGTTGATCCGAAATGAGACACTGCGTATAGTGTTGATGGCTTCGGTTGCTTGGTTATGGTTAGCAGGTATATTTTTATGCGGTTTAATGTTTGTGTAACTTTAGTTTAAACAGTTTAAACTCTCAAATGAATGCCCATGACACACTATTATTAACCATAAAGTGTTTTAAGGTTAGACTTTTAGCAACTTTTCTGTAAGTCTGATTTTATTTGGTCACGGCAGTTGTGACAAAACATGGTTACTGAAACTGCTCAAACAGTCAGGAAATATCTTGTCTTTTGTATACTGTATATGCTTTACTATACGCTTGACAAAATAGAAATACTCATGTCTGTATAAAATAGTATATTTAGGCTTCGTTTTCGATCGAGATTTACATAAACGGGTACCAACACATTATCATGTCAACATTTGGCACATAATCTAAATATAAAGAAATTAGGCACACTTGTCACTGTCGAAATAAATAAAACATCTCTTACCTTTAAAACATCAATAAAATACCATTATTCTCAAACTAAAACAAAACTTTATACATATTTATGGTACAAGTTACACAATTTAATAATATATAAATTATTATTGGTGAAATTTAAGTTTGAAACGTTCCAGGTACTTTCAATTCATTGTTTCATATGTGCAGTTATAAGCCTCAAATCTGGAGTAATTTATGCTATTAACTTTTGCACCAGAAAATTTGTAATCAGCTATCGTATGTTAAAACACGTCGCTACACAATTCATTCACATAAAAATAATTTCAATGCTTGACTAGGCGTAAAAAAATACCTGTGGTTCCGGTTCCCGACCGACCCTATTTTTTTTCAACGCGATTGACCGTGCGACCCTATTTTCTCCAGGTGGTTGCGGGCTGCTCATACAGCGTGCCAAAATGGCGTCTGTTGTCACACTAATTATTGAACCAAATTGCCTAAATTCGTCCATAGGAAATACGCATCTCTAGTTAATATTGATGACGGGACTCTACTGCAAATCGCCCAGCAAAAAACCGCCAAAACCATGAAGAAAATATTAAAAAAAAAATTTATTTCCGACCTACCGACCCTAATTTTTTTCACGATATGAAACCGGAACCACAGGTATTTTTTACGCCCTACCTGTATTCCGTTCTAAAAACAGTGGTTAGCACGACATTTGGTGAATTGTTTCGCCTAACAAGACATGCGAGTTATCCCAAAATGTGAATACACCCTTTCGATAATTACGACAGACATACTTTTTGGTCTTGGAGCCTAGTGAATTACGCAAGGCGATGGCTCACGATTCATGAGAGTGAGGCTCCCAGGTCATATGACGTAATTATCGAAAGTGTGTATTGGTTTGATAACAGACATTTACATTATGAACAAGCTTTCGTTGATAGGGATACAACTACCTGAAAAATATAAGAAGAATTTCGACGTTTCGAGCGAAGGCCCTTCGTCTGGAGTTACTAGTCAAAACGTCGAAATTCTCCTTATATTTTCAGGTAGTTTCATCCCTACCAAGGAAAGCTTGTTCATTTTATTGGCATTACCAACACTGGCAAAAACAGTTCATTTACATGCTTTAGCCGGTGATGTCAACTGGTGAGTTTCACTAAGCACTATCGTGCAGCAGATGGTGGTCAAACCTGCAGTTATCAGAGTGAGAAAATAATGTTCATTCTTTTCATCATCAAATAAATAGAATTGCGAGATGTAGTTTAATTTCCTTGCTTCTGTAAGGCCAAAAAAATATGTGGGTTTCCGGTTTCCCGACCCTACCTAGCTTTTGGACGTCGAAATCCCGACCCTAAACTTTTTTATTGCATCATGCTTGTAAGTGTTTCCACTTAGAGCAAAACGTTTGTGGAAAATTGAAATTTGAGGCAATATTAGGGAAATTTATCTTTGGATGTGGAAGCACTGACTAAACAAAATGGCGTCCGGTTGTTGGGAAAATTTAAAAAAAAGTTTTAAAAAAACGTTAAAACCGACGTACCCTACCTAAGTTTTTATAAGAAGAAATAGGAACCCACATTTTTTTGGCCTAACTGTGTAAGTGACAACATTTTCACCATCATCTGCTGTCACGCTGATTGAAACCAACCAATACAAATTCCTACTGGCATATTTACATATTTACACGATTAGCGTATCCACTTTACTTTCACCATCGGCTGACGACTCGTAACTTTCTGCGCCCGCATTGTCAACGCAATCTCTATCCAGCGGTGTGCCAGGGAGGGGGATATTACAAGGAGTGGTGGGGGTTTTGGGGATAGACTCGATCATATTCCTGGGTGTGGCAGGCAGTGGTACATTGTAAGGATTGGGTGTCTCGGGGGGAGTGTCGACAAGATTTCTATGATGGGGGGTGACAGGTAGAGGCACGTTGTAGGGAGAGGGTGTCTCAGGGACTGGGTCGGGTGCAGTTTCATCGATCTCGTGAACGTGTGTTGGTTCTGTAATATGATTGCATCAACGTTAGATGTGAATCTGGCGCATATGCTAAAGAGTTTGAGTCCCTTTTCAAATGCCAGAACTCCCTTTACAAACGTCAGAACGGCATCAACTATTTTGCTGACCTCAGAATGACATTTCGTAGGGTTAGGTTAGTGTTAGGGTAAGGATTAGAATTGGTGTTTGGAGTAGGGTTAGTGTCAGTAAAACCGTTGCTTTGTTGCGTTTTGTCACTCTGAGGCCAGCGAAATAATCTCTTCCCGTCAGAACTCGGTTTTCAAACGCCAGAAGTACCTTTTCAAAGCCCCCCCCCCCCCCCCCC